TCCTGGGGCAGGTGAGGGTGGGCTGGGGAGGGAGGGCAGAGGGATATTTCCTGGAAAGTGTGTCTCACGGCCTTGGCCTTGCTGCTGCATTTTGGGGTAACCTAAGCCAGAGGCTGGTCTTTCCTTTTCTGTGGCCTCTTCTCCCTGCTCTGCCGCTGCCACAGGAACTCGAGCCCGTATTCCGTTCTGATCTTGGCCTTCTCCTTGCTGGAGCTTTTACCTGGAAAGCCAGCATGACACGGGGGTCTCTTTTGGCCTGTAGGTTTCTCCAGCTTTATAAACTCCGGTGCCATAGGTGATTTTCTTCTGGGGAAGCCTGCACTCCACGCTCCTGAGGCACGGCCCACCTGCTAGGCTTCGTGCAGTTACGCCCAATGTGCAGCCCCATTCGTGAATTCAGCCTTGTCATGAACATGCAGGCCCACGGTACCGTGCTCAGGGCCAGGGACGTGATTTCCGCCCTAAGAACTTACCATGGTCCAGCTTATTAGGCAAAACATTGCCTTCATGAACAAAGCAGGAAAGTAATCTAGGGAGCTAATTAAAAAAAAAAAAATCCAACAGAAGTACAAACAGGAAACACAGATTACGCCTCCTTTTGGCCTCTCATTTGGTTCTGTCTCAGCCATACTCTTTCCCAATTCTGCCCAAGGCACATGGCCCTCTCCTGCATCCCTCCTGAGAAGTGTTCACTCCCCAAGCTCCCTTTAGCGCTTGGCCGTCCCTCGGCACACACATCCCTGTGGTCACGTTCTCTTTGACCGTGCAATTCCGAGGAAGGCCAAGATGTGCTGGTGCCACCACCACTGAGAAGTTCGGACTCTATCTGAAAATCACTTTCTGTTCTGAGTTACTTTCTTCTTTCTTTTCTGTCAAACTGGTGAGAAAGTTCTACAAAACTGCTGTACGGAAATCTATCATGTGAGCTTTCGTCATGTCTCAGATTCCAGGGTATGAAGGAAACAGAGAGAGACTTTAGGCCTGGCAGTCTTGGACACGGGAAGGAATTGTGGCTGCTCTTTACTCCCCATCACTGATGGCCCTCTGATCCCCAGCCACACAGGGGCCATGGGACTGGACCCCTGGCATGCCAGCCTGCATTCGGAGTGATACCAGCTGGGGCCATGGCTGCCTGTCCCCGCTGAGTCCCGGCTGGCTGTGCCTCCCCTAAACAGCCACCTCTTCCACAAAGACTGACCACTGCCTTCCAGTTCCTCACTCTCTCCCTTCCTAACCACCCACCACACGCTGAGAACATCCAACTTCACTCTGTCCTGTACAGAGTGGGGTACGCTCTGTGTCAATTACTTAACCTCTCTGTGCCTCAGTTTCCTCATCTGTGAATTGGGGTAATGACCTTTTCATAGGATCGACAAGGAAAGGAGAGCTAATGTGGTACAGCCACTGTTCTAAGTGCTTCACACATACATAATCAGTGCAGGTAAGGGACTCTGAATGGTGCCTGGTATGCGGTAAGTGCTCGGTAAGTACTGGTCACTAATGGCTTCGCAGGTGAAGTCTCTCAATAACATTTTAAACCCCGAAGGAAAGACAACCTCACAGGGGCCTCGTAAAATGATGCATCGTCTGTGGAGGTCATGGGTTCGTGCTGAGTAATAATGAGTAACAAGTACAGTAGCCCCGCGTCTGCAGTTTCACTTTCCACAGTTTCAGTTACCCGTGGCCAACTGCAGTCCGAAAATATTAAATGGAAAATTCCAGAAGTAAACAATGCCTAAGTTTTTAATCGTGTGCGGTTCTGAGTAGCATGCTGAACTCTCATGCCGCCCAGCTCCATCCTGCCCGCAGTGCGAATCATCCTCTTGCCCAGCGCCTGGCAGGTAGCGCTGCCCGCCCACGACTCACTCAGCCATCCCCGCTGTCAGGTCGACTGTCATGGTATTGCAGGGCTTGGGTCCAAGTAACCTTCATGGCCCCAAAGCACAAGAATAGTGATGCCAGCAATTCGGATATGCNTCCGAAAATATTAAATGGAAAATTCCAGAAGTAAACAATGCCTAAGTTTTTAATCGTGTGCGGTTCTGAGTAGCATGCTGAACTCTCATGCCGCCCAGCTCCATCCTGCCCGCAGTGCGAATCATCCTCTTGCCCAGCGCCTGGCAGGTAGCGCTGCCCGCCCACGACTCACTCAGCCATCCCCGCTGTCAGGTCGACTGTCATGGTATTGCAGGGCTTGGGTCCAAGTAACCTTCATGGCCCCAAAGCACAAGAATAGTGATGCCAGCAATTCGGATATGCCAAAGACAAGCCGTAAAGCACTTCCTTTAAGGGAAAAGCTGAAAGTTCTCGACTTAGTAAGGAAAAAAAAAAAAAAAAAAACCTTAGTAAAAAAAAAAAAAAAAAAAAACCTACGCTGAGGTTGCTAAGATCTACAGTAAGAATGAATACTCTATCCATGAAACTGTCAACAGTATATTGTTGTAATTGTTCTATTTTATTATTAGTTATTGTTGTTAATCTTTAACTGTGCCTAGCTGATAAATTATACTTTATCATAGGTATGTATGTATAGTGAAAAACATAATGTATGTAGGGTTCGACACCACCTGTGGCTTCAAGCATCCACTTGGGGTCTTGGAAAAGGGGACTGCTGTAAGTACAAATTGAAGTGAACTAAATCAGAAGCAGAATTCCTAAATTATGACCCAAATCCTTGGCACAGAGTGTGACAAGCTTGGGCTTTGTAGTCAGCTTCTCTGTCCCTCACTGGCTGGGCCACCTGGGCTTCCTCACCTGTAAAGTCGAAGCAGGAGACGTACAACTCCCAGACCAGCTCCTCTGCTTGACCAGCTATACGCTGATCACAGCAGGGAAGTTCTGTCCTCAACAGCCCCTGTCCACCCACCTGCAAAGGACGATCTTGGTAAAAACTGGACTATGAAAGCTAAAAGCAACTTGACGTTAAATTTGGGGATTGTCCATCCCGGGCTCAATCCACTGGGGAGTTACGGGCTGACTTGTTGTGTGTGTCTGGGTGTGGGTCTATATACAGTTAACAAGCATTCATCTCTGTCTAGCACTGACTAGGGTCGGGATCATTTCTGGCCCTTCCAGAGTTAGAAAATAATTGATAAGGATAGTCCTAAATTGCTCCATAATTTGAAGTCAGAAGAATTCCTGTTTTACTTTCTAGGTCCCCTCTGTCATGTACAGCAACTGGGTCAATTACAAAAGCATAAAGCAGAACAGTGTAAATCCTGTTTACCCAAACAGTTCTGGGCTCCTGTCTCTCATTCCCAGGTCATTAGGCAGGCCACGTTCGCCTGCTTTTGATCAGTGCCTATCACGCCCAGTCCTTCCTATTCAATACAAAACACTAGCTCCCTCCAAAGAAGTACCCACCTCCTCTTCTTTTCTCAGCCATCCTCAGATCAGCCCAAAGAAGCTGGGCTGATGAGGGGGATCACTTCTGAATTCATCACTATCCTCCCGCTCTGAAACTATAATCACGGTGCAGCTGCACCCTCCGACGCCTTCAGGCTGAGGACAATCCTATCAAGAGGAGGGAGACGCCCGACCCCCACCCCCAGCCTGACACTCTGGCTTCAGGAAATGGGCTGGAACACAAAGGTGACACAGATTAGGTTACATTACGGCATAATGGGCAGGCATCTGCCTAGCAAAGTCAAAAATGCTTTTCTGGGCTACGACACAGTGACTGCAAAGGAAAATGTGCATGGTGGCTTTGACTGAACACAGCATTATCTGCAGAAATGAGGGGATGGCGGGAGTGGCTTCCAAGGAAAAGTATGACCCAGGGCGATGTGGAAGCCTGGGCCACCAGCAGAGCTGGCTCATCACCCTGAAACAGAAGGAAGCTGCCTGTGGAGCAAGGCCATCCCTGGCAGGTGCAGCTGTGGCGAGGGAACCACGTCCTCCAGCATCATCCTGGCCCAGGATTTCCTACACACAATCCCAGAGCAAGCTGTTACCCAACTCATCACATAAACTGGCTGCCCATCCACCTATGTGCGGGGTGAGGAAGGCGGGGTAAGGGGTTTGGCTGGGCTTATTGGGAGGGATAGGAAGAGACGATGTTTTATCCCAGTCATTTGCATGTGATGTCCTCGCGGAACTGCCATTCAAGGTCATTTTCTGTGGGAACAAATAATGCTGGTGGGAAATGGAGGGCTGGGATCAAAGGTGGGTCTTTCACTAGCCAGGTGCAGACCTGTGAGTCACTTCATCCTCAGTCAAGGGTGACCAGAGTGCTGGCAAGGCTTATGCAGAGGAGGAAAGGAGGGAGAAAGGGAGGGAGAAAGGAAGAGAAGGAGGGAAGAGAGGAAAGAGGAAAAATAGAGGAAGGGAGGCACAGGGAAGCAGTGAGGGGGAGAGACATCCGTCAGGGCCTGGGAACATGTGTGGCCACCCGCAACGCCCTGCCACCCACCCCTGGACTGCAGAGCTGGCCCTTTCCTCCCAGACTGCCCAAAGTCTCCTTCCTCCCCAAGGCCTTTCAAGACATTGGTCCAACAGTGTCTTCCCAGAGTATGTCAACCCGGAGGACGTCACAATGTACTTGCAATCTCAGACATGTCTGGAGTGAGCGCCACACCACATCCCAACCCAAGCCATCTGTTGCCCATTCCTTCACCAGCTCTCAGTTAGGCTGGGACGTCTATCAGCCTCTGCAAAGGCTCTGAGCTCTGTTGACTGAGCTCTCTTGCTGGTCCCTGTTTCTGACCGGGGATAAGAACCTGTATCCATGCCCTCTGCTCCAGGTCCAGCACGGCTGAGATCACGGTGCCTTGCCTGTTCCAGGGTGACACATGCCTGTACCTGCCCTTTGTCTGAGGCTCCTGGGACCTTGACCTCAGCCTGGTCCTGTCCTCCAGGACTTGGGCACTCTTTAACCCCTCCATTATCCCCTCTCACACACAGCCCCTGACACCTGCACCACCTCCGATCTGGGGTCTGAATGACTCTCAAGATAAAGATGACAATGTGCACAGGCAAAGGCCATTGGAATAGAAACTCACCGGTAAATGCCCAAGGAGAGGCGTGATACTGTCAGAAACATAGATGATGCTGCCGTCTGTGGTCACTGCAATAATGAAGCCATCTAATGCCTGTGGAAAATGCAACATTTGAAAGCTCCTTAGCGATGCTTGTACGGAGGAGCGTGTCACCAAAGCAAAGAACCCCGTTTTAGGACGCTGGCTTTGTTTTGTAATCCTCAGAATATTCCCATGAATAACCTTGCAGCACTTCCTGCCACACACGTGGGAGGGCTTCTTACACAGAATTGTCTAGCCCAGGATGAGCGCTTGCAAAGGCACTATGGGCTCAGTAAAAAATTTCACCTATTGGTATCCCAAAATAAAATTTAGCCATGGAAACGATCTGAACAGGTTTAATGATAAGCACACTATTGGGCTGAATCAGAAATACCACTATTATCATAAAAGACATCAGCAATATGTTGTCCCCATCTCCCTATCCCCGATACCACTTTGAGCTCAGCAGTAAACATTTACTGAAAGACATCAGACCTTATAGGTACATTAACAACAGAAAATGAGCCTGTTGGCCAAGGTAGATCTCTGCCTACATTCATTGTTATAGGAGAAAGGCACACTGAAGGGACCCTTTGCAAAAAACATGCACATTATTCCCCAGGGCTGGATCAGGGAGGGCAGGTTGTGCAACTCAACTGCATCCATAAACATGTCAGAATGTCTGAAAAATGCATTCGTTTGGAAGTATCTACTGAGTGCTTACTGTATGCTAGGTGCATGTTCTGAGCGCCTGAAATAGAAAAGGTTTAAGGCGGAAATGTTTTCTCAGAAAGCACTTTTGCTGTCTTATTTTTCAATCCTTTATTGAGATTTTTTAATGTGGATTCTTGCAATGCTTTCATAAGACACATCTGAAAGTTGATTTCTAAAATTCAGACTATGTAATTCAGTGGAGAATGGGGTCATACTGGCAAGTAGCAGTCTGGAGTGCACCAGTGAGATGGAAGGGATTAAAAACAAAGCCTACCTCGCCAGAAAACAAACCTTTGAGGGGATTATACGCTCAGGTGGGCTTTCACTGCAAACCTGCCACTGTCATTTTACTGACTATAATATTTGACATACTATCTTCCCCAAATCTAGAGAGTTTTCTGCTCTGGGGGAAAAAAGTGAAATGTGTGCTCAGAAGGCTCTGAAAACATCCTGCATGCACTCATCCAGATCCTCCCAGGGTGTTACTGAGAATCTGCGCGGCCAAAGGGGCATGCGTTCTTTCAAGTTAGGAGGGCATGGCTAAGCCCATAGCAGCAGGAAGCAGAAATAGGCCACTAACTGTTTGTGAAGGGCACCATTACAACGTGCCAAAATAAGAGAGAGTTCTTTTCACCAGGAAAGTTAACACCAGGCTCATTTATTATTTTATACTGATGTACTGCAGGATTTAAGACTGAAAAATATACCAAAGCACACCTCTTAAACAGACCTCATCCTTCGGGATTATATCAGTGGTTCTCAACTGGAGGCAATTTTGCTCCCCTCATCCCCCTGGGACATCTGACAATGTCTGGAGATACTTTTTTTTTTTTCCTTTTTGTCTTTTTTCGTGACCGGCAACGGATCGCAACCCTCAGTGTCGCGCCCGTAACGGACCGGGACCGGCAACGGGATCGCAACCCTCGGTGTTGCTCCCGCACCTCGCTCAGCCAGTGAGTGGCCAGTCTGTATGTGGGATCCGAACCCTCGGACGGGAGCGCCGCCGCGCTTCCCAAGCGGCGCACTGTAGCAGTGTGCCACCGGGCCGGCCCTGGAGATACTTTTGATTGTTACTACTGGAGTGGATGATCGTGGCATCTAGTAGGTAGAGACCACAGATGCTGCAAAACATTCTACGATGCACAGGACAGCCTCTCAACAAAGCATTATCAAGTCCAAAACGTCAATAGTGAGAAACTCTGGATTAGATTTATGGGTTATGGTGAACAAAGAGGTATATCCCAGTAACTTCCATTTCTTTTTCCCCCCAAGTCTTTTTCTCAATTATTTTGTAAGTCATCTTTGCAGCCCTCCTGGAGGTGAATTTTCTGAAGGGGTAGGGGTACTGTTGATGATGTCAGCTAGACCTTTCTGGACAGAGCAGACTGGAAGGCTGGGGGAAAACGGGAGCAGCACAAGTGGCCTTCCTGCACAGCGAGCCACATCCCTCCCGAATCTGCAAAGCAAGTGGGTGTGAAAAAACTGAAGGTATTTATAGACGAAAGATAACTCATCAGCTCATTGGCATTTTCCATCAGATGTACAAGAGCTGCACTGACTCACTGCTGTCAGAAGGCTGCCAGGGTTTAGGAAGTCCCATCAGCAGCGTTTGAGAGTGATTCAACACCGAGTGGAGGCAAAGTGATGAGTCGCATCCATGCAAAGGTGAACTTGACAGGGACGTCACCAAAGGTGCCATAATGATCCAGAATTTTATACCCGCCACAACCACAGGGAAACAAAACCTCCCCTTTCTACCAATTCCAAGAATCTGATGGAACATTTCTTGTGTTCTCTGGGACAGCCTCTGGGCTAAGAGAAAACATTGCTGTAGCTTTTCTGAATAAAATGCAGACATTCCACAACCCCCCTCATCCCTGGTCAACAAGAGCTTTCTCTCTGAGCCTACTTGTTCAAACGCTATAGCCCCAGTGCTCGCCAGCGTACACTTGACCAGCTTGGCTGGTCTGCAACCAGGTCGTTTTTGTCCTTTCAACCCTCACAACTATGTGAGTCCTCCTGGAAGCTGTTTTTGTGCCATCTGGAAAGAAGAGGGAAGGAGGGTTTCACAACCAAAGGGCACCAGAAATTCCCCAGGGGCATGACAGGTTCTCTCTCGAGTTCTGTTCTCATTTGAAAAAAGGGAACATCCTGGTAACCCAGACAAGGCATCTGGATTCCCCGTTCTCTGAAATGGCTCTGAAGAAAGGAGAGGCAGGTGCGGCTAGCATGGGATGCACAGCGGGAAGAAGGTGCACCTTGGAAAATGACCACATCACCCTGAGAGGGGCCCATGGCTGGGGCGAGGCCCTCAGGGAGGAGACAGAGAGGGCTGCAATTATTTATGAGCAACAGGCAGGAATAGAAGGCTGACACAGTCAGAGATAAATGCAAGCCCCGGTTGGTGGGCTTGCCAGACTGCTCCCAGCAGCAGTTCACCGTTGTGCAGGCCTGATTTCAGAGCCGACCCCTTCATCTAGTGGAACGTCCTTCCCATCCACTTGGAGGAGTCTATACTGGGAGCAGGGGAAAGTGCATAAATACTATCCATACAAATCTAAAATCTTCTTTTTCTAGAAATTCCAGTCTCCTGAATCGTAGTCCTGCCTTCCAGCCCAAAAATTTATCTATTTTTAACTTTATAAAAACCTTGTTTCCTCAAATCCTTTCGATACTTTGAAACTCATTGGGGAAAAAAAGGTTGTGCTAAAGGCTCTTAAAAAGAGGCTGATGCTATAGGGTTATGTGTTTTAACTACTTCCATAAGAATTAAAAGATAAATCGATTTATGTAAAGTGGTATAATGATGCATTAATTCAACATTATATTCACAAGCTGCTTTAAATTTAACATACTTAAAATGCACTGCTTCTGGAGAAAGTTCTGTATTTTCTTTAAATATAGTTCCCATGCAGCTTTAAGTGTGTTTCATCTTATGCAAATGTTCATTAATGCGTTTATATTTCATAATATTTGGACATCTTCATTCTGGCATTTTCTTACTCCAGTACTTTCTGTTTTCTGCATAATCTATGTAAATTGAAGTTTACATCAGTCTCACATAGGCACATAAGACAAGATATAGAAAAATTTATCCCAAGAAGCTACTCTCTGAAAATCCTGCCAGCAACCACTGGCACACAGCCAGCATCTATCTTCTTTTTGCTGAGCTTGTCTGTCCCAGTTCTCTTCTCGGTCGAGGGCTGAGACATGCCACGTCTGGGACTTTCTCTGCCTCCATCACCATAGCCATACCCTCCCAGTGTTATCCCCAGGTTGGAAGTCACAGCACCCTGCCAGATGTTTTTGTGGAGCCTTATCCTCATCTGCATTGAGGAGTTTCATCCGTATGTAAATATATGATATTAAAGAAGGCCACTTGCTCAGGTCACCCAGGTTTTCACAAATCTAGCCCTGCAGTGGAAGATGGGCACCTAATCCAGACGCAGGAATGTGAGCACCTTACTTAGCACAGAGGGTGTAGGCTGGGCAGGGAAGCAAAGGGTCAGACGGCTGACACCCACCTGCGTGGTGATGGAATATGAGCTCAAGTTAAAAGCATAACTTTAAAAGGAGACTTTTATTTTTGAAATGTGTTTCTACTAAGGAAAAAATATATAATCATTGCATTCTAAACAGGAGGCTCCCTGAGCCACATGGCAGGGAAGGCTGATATAATCTTCCCTCTCGCTTTCTCCCTCTCTACCTACCTCCAACCTGCTCCCTCCCAGTCCCCCTGCTAGGTGTCCTCTGGTCGGGAGACCAGTCATTGCAGTGATAGCACATGACCACATTCAGTTTGGGGATTCCTGCTTTTATTGCCCAACTCAGTAGCCAAAACATAAGCGACAGCACACTGAGCCTCATAAAAGTGTCTGTTTCAAGACCTGTTTTCAGGGTCAAGAACAGTTGTTTGCTTTGGGCACAGGGTCTTTTCTGGAACAAGCAGTACATTTTAATTTGCAACCCATTAGACTAAGTTGAAACTACATTTCACCTCCAACATCAGCTGGGTGAATTCTTCATTACTGAGGAACGAAGGCTTCCAGTCCTGCTGAATGTCACAGATCTCCGTCTGCGCTGAGACTTCTAAAAAGGAAACACAAATAAGCGTTTATATTCAATAACACCTAGAAATTGGAATTAACCAAAGAAGCACATGCTACTTCTATGGAATTTTATGTAAACCTCTGTGTGGTTTAATTTAAGAAGACATTATAAGGAAATACATTACCCTGATTTCCAAGGACTGGGAACTTTGGATGTAATGGGCTTAAAAACACTCTTAATGTGCCCTCACACCCCTTTAATGAGGCTTCCAGGAGGAGGGTACCTCACCCTCTGCATGGGTGTAGTGCCTGCCACTCGCAGGTGGCAGGGCGCCTTGAATTTCTACGTGACATAGCCCCACCCTCAGCTGGTGGCTGGAATTAGGTAGTCACCACCTATGAAGGCAAGAGAAACCCCTGGGATGGTGGGACACCTTAAACTGCTTCTTCACGGTTAAGGCGAAGCAAAACATTTCAGAGATCTGGGATTTTCAAAATTCCAGAAACATCTCAGGCTGGTGGTAAATAACCTACTGTGGTACACAGAATGTAAAGTATTTTTCAGCATTTCCATCACTAAAGTATAATGTGCTATACAAATACACATTATTAGTTGCTTTTAAGGCTGGAACTTGCTCTTCTCAAAACTTTTTTGGGTTAATCTATAGTTTACCTATTTCATGTACTGAAGACATTACTCATATTTGTAAATCCAAATAGTCATTGGCCTACACAGGACTCTTTAAATATTGTAGTTCATTTGCATTTTTGAAGGAATGTTTTGCTCAATAATTAAATTATCTCTGATAAGATTATAACAGGTAGCCCAAATGTGGTATTGAATATATTTGCTTTTCCTTCAGTTTATCCTCCATTTTAAACCAACATTTTGCTCCACTTTATGTAGTAAGAGGTGTCTTTGGGTATTATTTTCTCAGTGCTAGGAAAAATGTAAGAAAATATGACTTACACTTCAGAGAATTAAAAAAAAAACCTGTTTAACAACTTCCTGGAGAATGCAATTGTTCAGGTGGATAATCTATTAACTTTAAACTAGGAGAAAGGTCTCAAGGCTCTCTGTTTTTGGTAATCTGTCTTACATGTAGCATGGGGAATGAATTATGCCACTTAATTGAATGAATTTGAATGAATTCAGTGGTTGCTCACGAAGAGGGTGTGAGGGATGAGTTGTAAACCTGCCCTTGTTCCGTCTCCCAGTGTTCCTGGCAATGCTGGGCTCTCCCGGGCAAGTTTCCTCCCTCCAGATGTCAGAAAGAACACGCTGCCGTGCTGTGCAAAATTGGATTTTTGTACTTTGTGATTTTAAAGGAGCATGAAAGAGCGGCTAAGAGCCCTTGGTAATTGAACATGGGGAAAGTAACTGAAACTCAAGAGAGGAAACCATGCCTTCAGTCAGGCAATCGACAACACTGCCCATGAGTGAGAGGCAGTGCATGGAGATGCCTCCTAGGGCTGGACGCCATGGTGCACCCAGTGAAATGCATCCTGGGAGCGTTTGCAGCGGCCCCAACTTCATTTCCATAGAGGTCTCTCAACATGATGGTGAAGGAGAAGAAAAGACAGGTTTCTTTTGGATAAGTAACTTTTAGATCACTCGTGTGACTGGATACTTTCTCAACGTGAGCATCACAGCACTGAAAGCAGCCATTGCACTCACTGTGTATTTCAACAATTCAATTACCATCCTTGGAAGTTAAGGCTCCATTCATAGCATATTAAAAAATATATAAGTTAGATATGAGGTCTCAAGGCAAGTAAAAAATGTTACACTGGGAAATAAAATTCAGTGTTACAGTCATGTCTCCACTGGCATTTGGTGTGACCAATGAAATAAGCTAGAGGTGACAAGGCAGGATTAGCAAAGAGACGTATGGTCAACATGTCTTTAAAATAGTGAGGAAAACAAACAGTGAGGTTTTGGTTTACATTTCCCTGCTGACTCATGATGTTGTGCTTTTTATGATCTTTTCATGCGCTTATTGGCCATTTGTATACCTTCTTTGGAGAAATGTCAATTCAAATTTTTGGCCTACTTTTAATTTTTTTTTTTATTGTTGAGTTGTGTGAGTTCTTCAAATATTCTGGATACTGGACCCTTATTAGACATATAATTTGAAAATATTTTCCCCTATTCTATGGGTTGTTTTTTCACTTTCTTAATGATGTTCTTTGACACACTAAGGTTTTCAATTTTGAAGTCCAACTTATATATGTTTTTTCCTTTGGTTGTTTGTGCCTTAGGTATCATCTAAGAAACCATTGTCTGACTTAAAGTAGTAAAGATTTATATCTATGTTTTCTTCTAAGAGTTTTATAGCTTAGAGTTATAGGTTAAACATTTAGACATAAGCTATAGGTTAAGCATTTATAGGTATTTGATCCATTTTCAGTTAGTTTTTGTATATGGTGTAGGAAGTTAAAATTCATCTCTTTGCATGTGGATATCCAGTTATCTCAGCATTCTATTCCCTTTTTTTTTTTTTTTTGCTTTTTTTTTTTTTTTTTTCTTTTTTTTTTTTTTTTTTCTTTTTTTTTTTTTTTTTTCTTTTTTTTTTTTTTTTTTCTTTTTTTTTTTTTTTTTTCTTTTTTTTTTTTTTTTTTCTTTTTTTTTTTTTTTTTTCTTTTTTTTTTTTTTTTTTTGTCTTTTTGTCTTTTTTCCGTGTCCGGCAACGGATCGCAACCCTCAGTGTTGCCCCCGTACCGGACCGGGGACCGGCAACGGGATCGCAAACCTCGGTGTTGCTCCCGCGCCTCGCTCAGCCAGTGAGCGGGAACCGGTCTGTATATGGGATCCGAACCCTCGGACGGGAGCGCCGCCGCGCTTCCCAAGCGGCGCACCATCCAGTGCGCCACCGGGCCGGCCCTTTTTTAGCTTTTTAATACTTGATAATAGTATAACACACATACAGAAAATACAGAAATCATAACTGTACAGTTGAATTAGTTATCGCAAAATGAACACAGCAGGTGAACCCACACCCAGGACAAGAAATAGAAGCTTTCATAAGAGATACCCCCTCCTATCTACCTCTGCTTTCCCCATAGGTGACCTGTATTCTGACTTCTTTTTCTTTTTTTTTTTTAAGGCTTAAAATG